ATATTCTGTTTATTCAGACTGAGTGCAAAAAGATATAATTTGCTGTAACTGAGGAAATCTACCGAGAACGAATGGTTTAGTTATGCAAAAAGATCTGTAAGAAAGCTCACTGTCATTAAAACTGTAATAGGGACAATGAATTCTTAAGCGCGTTGTAAGGGTATAAAAATTAAGTTTCTAGACAATTCCCCTTGCTTTCCCAAACAGTTTTTATTCAAAACGTATTCCCTGAGTAACGCTGTCAAAAATGCTCCGTAGAAGAAACTAGTTGAGATAATTTTTCACGAATAAGAATTTTAAACTGCAGCTATCTATAAACAAAAAAATCCTTATTACTTTGTGAATATAAAACAGGAAAAAATGATGAATAGATAAAGTGCATGTTAGAATGCTTACCAATTAAACGATAAAATAAAAAAACAACTGATTTAGTTAAGTCCCGTGACAAAAGCGTTTCGCACTTGACCAAAAATGCAACCAAATTGTCGGCAATATGTATGTCAAAGAAATCCTTCCATGCAGGGAAATGCTGATGCGTGGGAGAATAAAATTTGAAGGACAGAATGGTGTACAGTCACTACCTAATACCCTTCGTATTATAAATACAGATAACCGATTTTTGAAACTTACTGATTGATGTTACTTCTGCCGCTTATTATTTTGCTTCTGGTTCATTTTCAAAGAGGAAATTTAATAAAGGAAACGTCTATTGTTCAAAAAATAATGTTACCCGATTGCCGACTGTTAGAACAGTACGGATTTAGCTTGACAGTTTATTTGACAAAATGCGTCATCTTCATCCACGATGTAAATAAGTAGGAGCAATTATTCATTATCGAAGCCTCACAGCTGCAACCCGTTAGCGGACACGGAAAAAAAGTTGCGACCACTGCTGTGCCCTAAAAAAATCCTATGAAATTTCAGCACCAGTGTCCCACGATGTCCGACAGTCTTTTTTCAAGTCTCGTCTCTTTTTAAAAAAAAAAAAATTGTTAGCCATTATCCACCTGTTTGTTCACCACACCACCATTTCATCCTATGTTTATTTGTGTATGTTGCTGGTATCATCAGATCAAGTACTGAAATTGTGTTAACGCGTATTTTCACTTCCTTTTTGAAGCCGTCTTAACTAGATTCTCTTAAAAAACAGATTTTAAGATTTTCAAATAAAGTTTAGTATTTAAATGAAACTTCTAGTTGATAAAATTTCATAATTCTTTTATATCCTTAACTTCTCTATTCATATTTCTAAAAAGCGTCAGCAGTTTGAAAAATGAAATTTAAAAACTATTTAATCTTAAGCTTTCAAAATTTAAACGTGTAACATTCTATTTTTCTTTCACGATCACTGTTATTAATTCTTTTTTACTGTCTTTTTTCTGTCTACTCTTTTCGTATTCATTTCTGTACCACATGCTTTACACCCCCTTTTGAAACATAACAATTTAAATTGAGTCTTTTCAGTCACGTACTGAAGTAATTACCGGTTGAAAAACCTACCTGTAGTCTGAAGAAATGACAGTTTGATGCTTCACAACT